GTCGGAGAATTGTTGAGACACAAAATATCCTCAAAAATAATATCCGTAGGAGAGTTGGGAATGGGATTGAGGTTCAGGTGTGGGATGATGCGTGGCTTTCAGGTGAGGGGGAGGGTCGGCCAGACCAACTGGAATTAGAGATATGAATGTTGTTGCCCTGTGTGATATAACCGGGGGAAAAATGGAGCATGGAGAGAATTTCTAATATCTTTGATGCAGATGACAGGCGTAAAATTTTGAGTATACCTATTAGTTCCTATGATAGAAAGGATGGGTACTGGTGGAACGGTGAGAATAGCGGGAAGTTTTCAGTGAAAAGTTGTTACCGTTTGCTCACAGGGGAGTTGCAGACCGGGGACGGGGCTGATTGGGCTCGGTTATGAGATTTGCATATCACACTGAAGCTAAAATATTTTGTCTGGCAGGCTATTGATGGCTCTCTTCCTACATTTGATAATCTGAGGAAAAAAGGTGTGCAGGTTCTAGACGGGTGTAAAGTGTGTGGTGATGTGGCTGAGGATACTGATCATGCTTTTCGGGTTTGTGAAAGAGCAAAAGAGCTTTGGAGCAAGGTGAGGGTGGATTTGGGGAGTCCGGTAGAGTCGGTGAATACGTGGTTTTGGCGGCATCTGGGGGGACCAAATGGGGATGACCGATGCTGATTCATAACTATTTTATGGAGGATGTGGAAGAGGAGAAATGGATGTGTCTGGAAAGACAAATGGAAAGGAGCGGCAGGTGTTATCAACTCAGCGGCAGGAATTATCTCGGGATGGAGAGATGCGCAAGGCTCTGAGAGTATAGCTTAGTCTAGGAGAGAAAATAATTCCTTGACGGTTTGGAAACGTCCGCAAGAGGGTTTTTGTAAAGATTAATGTTGATGGGGTGGTGGACGAAAGTACACATACTAGAGCCTGATGATGGGTGGCACATGACCGTTATGGCAATTTCTTGAAGGCGAGAGGGATCTCCGAAGCAGCTAGTTGGTCAGTGGTGAAAACAGAAGCAATGAGTTTTGGGGATGCTTTGATGGGTCTAAAAAAATGAAGGAGGTTCTTCTTACCTTTTCCTTATTCGTGATGATATTAGGCATTTACTAAAACATAAGAGTAATTTTATTGTCTCTTTTTGTAAACGATCCGCGAATCGTGTTGCTCATGCGTTAGCAAGAGCACATGTGTCAATCTCGGATCAGTGTTGTTGGTATGATAGTATTCCTGACTCTATTGTAAGTCTGTTGGCGCATGATTTGGTGAATTAATATATCTGTCAGTTGGAGTTAAAAAAATTAAAGTTTGCTTAGAAGATGACACAAGACAAAATTTTCCATATATGTATCTTTCAAATGTATTATATATAGATGCACAATTATAACATGTTTATGGAATACCATGTGATATTCGTGTAATTTGCGATTGTATGTTTGTATTTTTAACTAGTTTTTATTAGTTTTAGTTGTGGAAATTACACACTTTTGGTGTAATAGTTTATTTTCATAATTATTTGTAAATTGTTTAGATTAGGACTTTTCTGAGCTAAACAAGTCAAAAAGCATCCAAGGGAGCAAGATTGGACCTTAAAAGATCAAGGAAAGTGCAAGGAGGCAAGAAAGATTTCGATTTGGAAAAAATACTCATGTACCCGGTCGGGTATTGCCTATACCCGATCGGGTATTTACTTGATTCGATTGTCCAAATCAAATCCGAGAACAAACGATCGTGGGAGCAGATTTTCGTAAGATTTTGTCACATACCCGATCGGGTATATACCCTTACCCGATCGGGTATGCCCAGAAAAGTGACTTTCTGGGCAATTTCCTGAGATACCCGGTCGGGTATCCTATGTACCCGGTCGGGTATCAGACCCTGCAGCTCCCAAAAGCCTATAAATACACCTCTTTCCTTCACAATAAAATCACCAATTCACATATACTCTTTAGCTCAGTTTAGATTAGTGTTTTCTTTATATTTTCTAACATGTTTAGTCTCCAAATGAGGAGCTAAACTCTTCCATCTTGGTTTTGCTACTTTGAAGCTTAATGAATTTGTAAGTTGTGAGTTATTCTCTTTAATCTTCTTCCTTGAATATTAATTCTTCCTTTAAATACTATTTCCATATCAATGTTGGGGAGTGTTACTAAGATGACAATTAGTTAACATCTTGACATTAGTTATAGTAATAGCTATTTCTTCCTCTATGTTAATATTGGGGAGTGTTACTAAGATGACAATTAGTTAACATCTTGATATTAACTATATATAGTAGGATTCATCTTCTTTAATATTCTTTCTTGAGTATTAATTAATTCCTATTCATATTTCATATTAATATTTTGAACATTACTTAAAGGATCAACTAGTTTTGTTTCATATATTAATTAATACTAGAATCGGTCGATTAATACGCTTGTTATTAACTCGGTCCTTTCGCGGTAGTAAACTTGGGCTGTTAATGCATGCGTCTCATGGTTGATAAGCCAAGGGGAATTAATTATATTGATTAAACCATTAAACCGCTTGTGTTGAGGTTATCAATCTCAATCGTTTTCATCTTGATTTTATTGCTACTATCGAGTAAATATACGGCGCGTGTTCTATATTAACTCGGTAGTAAGTTTTATTAATGAACGCGTCTCGTTATTAATAACTACCCTCGATGAACTGGATATACTCCTCGATTGAGTATTCGAGAGGAAGATAGTTAAAGATATAACCGGGATCGACGAACATTTCATTAAGTGGATAAAAGCAAAGCCAAGTCTTCTTCTCATTAATTAAACCACATAACTCGTTCATCTTCGTGTTTAAATATAATTTAAAGTTCATCAACCAAACATAAACCCCCCTTTTTGTTACTTATTTATTTCTTTAAAAGAAGAGTATTCCTTTCCCTGTGGATACGAACCTTACTTCATTATACTACGTATAATTGTCGTATTGTATTATTACTTTGAGTGCACCTCACGACAAAGTGCACGTCACCATGTTATGGAAATTAAGTCGTCAAGTCAAATAAACTCTAGAACTAAGGATATTTTTTTTGGACTGAAATTTGCTGGTCTGATCTGATCTGATTTGGTCTGGTCTGATCTGATCTGGTCTGGTAAATATCTGGTCTCTGTGTATTTTATAACTAGGGTGAGCGCGGATCTGGGAATTCCCGTTCCGTACCGAAGAACCGTCCCGTACCGCTCCAGAACCGAAAGAACAGGAAAAATGTATTACCGTACCGTACCGTATCGATTTTTTTTTAATAATATGGTACGGTACTGGTTCTTAGTGAGAACCGTCCCAGCACCGTCCCGGAACCGTATTGAACCAAACTGTCTTGTATCGTTCCGAATTGTCCCGAAAACCAGGGGTGGCCCTAGGGGGTGCAAGGGGGGCGGCTGCCCAAGGCCAAAAAAAAGGAAAAAAATTAGGCCCAAATTTGGTTTTCTTTACAATATGTGTGAGTAGGATGAGTTTTCGGTCCTAAACTAATAATTGTTCGGGTGAATTTTTTGAGATGCTTCTAAGTGAATTCTTTGATGAAAATTGATGAACATGTTCTTTATAAAGTGTAAATTATTTTATAATCGATATATAAATTTGTTAAATAAAATATTGAAAAACACTGCGTTTTTACGCATATATTGGCACAATATTTTTCAATAATTTATTTCTATGACTTACCGATTGAATTTTAAGCTAAAATTTTGTAGACATAATCTAAACTTGATGAAAAATATGTTCATAAAATTTCATAAAAGATTTGACTTAATTGGAAGTAGATTAGTCTGATATGACTACTTGATTAGTTTATTGATATTTTCATTCATAGATGATTGTTTGACTTCTTAATTGTTGACTATTATCTATTGAGTGTTGGTGTTATAATTTGTTGATTTTGTCAGACGAAAAAAATAAATTATAATTAAATTGATAAATTTAATTGATTTCAAGGTGTAATAAAATTATTGAACCTGGATAGCATAAAGAAAAAAAGAGGAAAAAATTAGAGAAAATGGTGTTAGGTAAAAATGATTCAATGGAAAAGTTTGTTTGTGTAAAGAAGTTGAATTCCGAATATCCTCAAGACTAGAATTCGGAGAAGAAAAATGATTTAGCTACCGAAAATGAAACAATTCAAAATGATCATATCATTAGAGTTAATTTTTAAATAAGGATAAAATATTGATAAAATGCACAAATAGGATCACCGGTGTTTTCTTCCTAAATAGAACCACCAATACTATAATATTATTGATTTAGATAGAAGAGGGTTTTACAATTTTTTATAATTGTCTTGATTTTTTTGAATGGTTATTATTATCATTATTATGCATGTTAGTTTAGATTTTCTAAAATATGATTAGGCCCTTTTTATATTTCCGCACATAGGCCTTCAAACATGCAGGGCCGCCCCTACCGAAAACTAGTGTTATATTATAATAATATACTTCGTATTATACATAATATATTACCGAGTATAAATGTTAGTGATCATGTGTCCCGAAAGCTAGTGTTATAATATAATAAGTAATATATTATATATAACATATTAATGAGTATAAATGTTAATGACTGTGTGTCCATATATTACAAATATGCAATCTTGCATATTCTTTGGGCGTAATCCAATTATTAAGACTCGACAGCACTAAAAGTTAGCTTTGAAACAAAAGCAATATTAAATTATATAAACAATGCTACATAAATAGGGTTAATTATTTAGAAACCAAATAAAACCGTAGAATCGTACCGAACTGTACCGTACCGTACTGAAAATTGGTACAGAACGGGATAGGTTCCATATATGTGCGAGACGGTACCAGTTCTTGATTTTTAAAAAAACCATACTTTTGGACGGTACATGTTTTTTGAAATAACCGTCCCGTACCGTCCCATGCTCACCCCATTTATAACTATGGAAGTCTGGTCTGATCTGATTTAATTAGGAATGGGATTGATAACAGTCCAAGCAGAGATAACCGTCCGTGAAAACATCCTAAATTGCGCCGTACTTTATCCCATCCCATAAAACATTATAAGACATCGAAGTCCCAAATAACATCGGATCCATCAACATTGACAAGGAAGCTCGAAACCTTTCGATATCTAAAGGATACGGAGGCGGCGAATTTGCGAATCTGAAAAACATCGAGTCATGGCAAAGAGGCTCCTGTTCAGTGGCGAATTTCAGGTTTATAATTACTCCACTTTCTTTGAGATCGGTTCTTCATTAATAAAAAATTGAAAATTAAATCTTTGTTTGTTTTTGCATTTAATTGAAACAAGAACGGAGCTTTCTAATTTAAAAAAACTACAGCAGAATTTAAAGAGAAGCTGTCAAACAGCTGTTAATCCTGGAGCAGGTGAAGGCATGAGTGCTGCTGATCTAGGCCTATTGTTGAGGGGGGAGGGTGGTAATGAAGACGTATTGTTGGAAATACTAGCTAGACTACCAAATAGTCGAAATGCAATTCATGGAGGCTTGGTGTGTCACCTTTGGCATTCCCTCATCTCTCAGCAGCAGTTTATTCCCAGGTTTATAGGCCTCCGGGAACAAAAGAAGAAAGAGCAGCCTTATTCCATCATATTCCGCATGGTAGATGTTTTTGAGCGAGCTCCAGATGAGTATTATCGGCCCATCTGCAATCTATTTTCGGAAGAATCCATGGTTCTCCACGGGGGAGAAACAGTCACATCATGTAGAAGTTATCCTCCTTCAGGCAGCCGCGGCGGCGTCCAGCCACCTTCACCCAACATGGTCATAGGAGCATCTTGCGGTGACTTGCTACTGTTGTCTCAAGGTGAACGCTACTATAAGGGTCCAAACTCCCACTATCTCTGTAATCCAGTAACCAAACAGTGGCTCCATCTCCCCGATGTTTGGTTCGGAGACTTCTTGATTGGGTTTGCAGTAGTACGCATGCCGCCCACCCGTAACAGCAGTGGCAGTTATGAATACAAGGTGGTTTTCATCCATTTTCCCCATGATCGTGGAGACAATGATTTTGCTCGGCTAGGGGACAGTTGGAAGTTTCAGATGTCAATTTATTGTTCAAAATCAAGAAAATGGAATGTTAATTCATGGTTTCGATATCCTGTACCCACTACCACCAAGACCCCTAGGCTTTTCATCAACCCAATCACTTGTAATGGAACTATTTATTGGTTCAATTGCGATGTTGTTCCTGACTATGTCATTGCCTGTGATTTGGCGAACAATCCCCACTCTACTGCCTTTATCGACCTTCCTGAAGGCTCTTTGGCTGGTGGTGGGAGTGTTGTTTCACTAGAGTTGGGTGCTGTCCAGGGGGAACTGAGATTATTCAACGTGTTCTGCCCGTCGTCGCGTGACCCGCAGCAGCCTCTTGATCTCGTTGTTGTTAAAGTTTGGGAGTTGAATCACAGAACCAATTCTTGGACTCTCGTTCATGACACATGCTTCAATGATCGGCCGCCGCCTAATGGCATGCAAGTAGAAGAAGAAGAAGAAGAAGAAGAAGAAAACAAGTTCAACATCCGTACGGTTGCTTTCCATCCACACGATGGGGACGTGGTCTTCTTGGTATGCGGCTGTGGTGTTTTCCGGTATCACATATCACGGGGTGTGTATGAGAAAGTAGATGAGCTCTGTAGTGTTTTCCGGTATCACATTACTCCACAAGGTGTGTTTGAGAAAGTCGACGAGCTCCTTCATTCTGTGCCTCCAAACGAGCTTCTCACGTCATTCACTCTCCTCCACTCTATCTGGCCCAACACCATGTTGCTCTCTCCTTCCGAATAGAATATTAATTGTTATTACTATATTGTTATTGTGCACACACTTACTAATAGAAGAACATTATTGGTTGGGGAATGTAATCTTGACCATGAGGCCGGGTTTTCAACATTTGTCCTACATTTTGAAATTCTGTACCTTTTGTCCTTACATTTGATTGTTCCCCTCCCACTGCTCCTTTTTTCTTGTGCTCACTCATTCTTTGTATGTGATTGCATTAGACTATGTCATCTTAGACTCGTGCTGGCCGCTTGAAACAGGACATCCATTGTATGTCATTTCAATAAAATAAAGTATTCTAATTGGAATCCGAGTAAATGTGGTCTCCAGGATGAGTTTGGTTCGTTACTGCAACAATTAATCACAAAGTTTCTCTCACCGAATCAAAATAGGAGTACTTTTATTATGAGTGTGTTCTTATGATTTGCATCAAATTTCTTACTTAGTTTCTAACCTTTAGTTCGTTTTTTTTTACTTTTGTTTTGTGTCTCTTAAGTCTTAACCAGACCTACAACTTTCTGTTTTAACATATATGAAGCAATACTAGTTTCTTCCTCTATATATCAACAGGATTGCACTACATGCATATAAAATAGTGCTATAATGCTATAGTTGGAAAAAAAAATGCAAAGTAGTCAACGACATGAAACATCTTCTCCTTATTAGCACTACAACACCTCCAAATACCACTTGATAATATCGCTGTCACAAAAAACGAATATTATGTGTTAAATGTCTCAGGAAGTAAACGTTTGACTCCATGTATAGTTGTATAAAGATCTACATCTTATATTTAATGTATGCATTGTGGTAAAGTGACATTTTATTTGTAATTTTATATGTTCAGACCATTGTTTATTCTAAATAGTACTATACATGTAGTTCCTAGCTCAGTTGCTTTTGTGAGGTTTGCTTTCAAATGATCCTTTAACAGCTCCATGTTGATCCGATTATCAATGCTTGGCTTGACTAGCTGCTGATTTTTGTTTGTCATATACTGGATTAGCTACTACTGGTTTTTCTTTCCACCCAACTTTTCCCATCCATCACAATCTTCTCCACCGTACCGTTCTCTGCTCCGGCGCTGCAAACCACCGATCTTCATTTCTTTTCTTTTCTTTCCATCTTCTTTACACCGAACTTTTCTCTTCTGTCACTGCGAAATGTTTTCCATCATTCTCTGCTTCCATCGCTGCAAGGGGCTAAAGGAATCACCTTCTCTGAGGTCTTCAAGCCCTAGAAATAGATATTTGCCGTAATGAAACATGGCTGGACATTCTTCGGCGCCACAAACACTTTCAATGCCAGGGAATGAAACTAGCTTCAACCAATTCACAGTTTATCTCAAAGCCGCCCATTTCCTTCCAAAGGTAATTATATGAATGAGATTAGTTGATGGGAGCTATCAATTGAAAAATCTTAGTGATAAAATCTCTTTTTGTATCTAAGAATATAAGTAGTGAAAAGTGCATTTTTTAGTATAGAACATATTGTAATTTTAGTTGGAAAAACTGATCATATCAAATGTTTGTTTGCCTTTTTCTTCTGTATAAACTGTGCTTTCTTTCCCATATATGATTTGAGTAATAGTAAGAAGTGAAAACATATGCATTTTAAGTCAGTCATTTGGTTAGAATAATGGAATATAACCACACGTTTAGTTCAAGGGGTAAAATTACAGATCTATACAGTTTAATTTAGTGCATATACATGCTCTTTTAGTCAAAAAGTGAAATTCTTTCTCTTTATAAAATGCAATTTTGGTATTATATAACATGTTGAACATTGTGAGTTCAATGAAAAAAATCATTCTTTTTGGGCTGTGATTTGAGGACACTAATCTTACAATTTTTTATATGCATCGTACTAATAGGACTGCTTTCTTTACGAGATACGATTTGAGTATTACAATAGCAAGAAGTGAAATCATCTCTGTTTTTTAGTTAGTCTTTCAATGAGAATAATGGAATGTAACCAAAAGTTTAGTTCAAGGAGTAAACGTACAGACCTGTACAGTTTATTTTAGTGCATATACAAGTTCTTTTACTCAAAAAATGGAGTTATTTCTCTTAATAAGTAGGAAATCCTTTTGTGTTTTTGTTAATGATTATATAATACATGTACAACAATCTTTATGGACAAGGCCTGCATACTGTCAGCTTGATCTTATATTTAGATCTTCCCTGTCTTCTTCATCCAAGCCGTAAGATTTCACTTTCTGTCTTCCACCATCACCAAAGAGTTATGGTCAAACTAGATTTGCTAGGGTCGTTAAAAACACTAACGTGGTTTCGGCAAAAAAAGCCTATGCAATTTGATTTGTGCCGCTTATCATTTCTGTGAGGAATAATGCAAGAAGTCATGTGTGAGAAATAATAAATCAGATTACATGTGTTCCTGGTTCACAAGATTAATTTGATTTTTTTTTCTCTTTCATGATTAGGATACATGATATTGTTATCTTTTCATGGCTCCCACTAGGATTAAGTAAGTAGAAGTTTCAAATTTCAATTTGTTTTTTGAGCTTATAAATGAGCAACTGCATGTCTTATTATTTAATACTAGTAGTAGATTTTCCATTTTTCTCAGGATCTTTGAAGTGCTTTTAATCACTATCTGTACGAGGGGTTTAAACGTCTACTCGAATAATGCAATCAGGCAGGTTTTCACTTTGAACCCTAATTTTTTAGATTCAATTGTCAGTTGTATACTTTGTTTTCATTTCAATATTTACTAGTCTTCCAATTAATCGCACATTCGCACTCAACTGAAAGACTAATACGGAGTATATTTTTTGGGTTAAAAAAATCCCTCACTACATGTTAAAAGAATATTATAATCATTTGTTTGACAAGTAAAGTTAGACTTTGTATACTTCAATGATATTGCCTGACACTGAAGTGTTGCCATTCCTTCACCTATGATTGATTTCTTTATTTATACTAGTAAACTCACCCGTGCGATGCACGGTTTGAAATTTTTTCCTTTCAAATTTATGCGTGCTTAGTGATTCAAAGACTTTGTACCCTAGGTTTTCATTCTTCTCATTTCAAATTGTCGGTTTAGTGAGAGAAGCTCTGAGGTTCTGGATTCTTCCGATTTTCTTAACAAACGAAATAAAATTTCATAAACTGCCAATGAATTCTTTTTCCATGAATTGAACTTTGGTATGTTCACGCCTCATCAGGAATAGCATGTTTGACATGCTATTCTTAAAATCTGGCCACCTTCGAACAATAAAATTTTTGACAACCAATCAAGGGTGACAATGGCGTGGCATTGCAAAAAATTCAAATTTACTATAGGGTAAAACCCATTACCCTAAAAATGGAAGTCTAAATGTCTTTTTTGTTTTTATGCTTTCACCACGGATTTTTAGGAAGTTGCACTCGAGCAAAACCTTTAATTACAGTTGTCTTCTTTAATCCACATCCCTTTTTTTGGTGTGTGTCTTCATCATATACCCTTGTTGAAAATTGCGAATATGTCAATATCTTGTAATGTTTCATTACTTCCAATCCATTTTTAATGTTTTGGTAAAGCACATAATACCAATGCATTTGTAATAAAACTCATTCCTTACATATCAGATCAATACAATGTTTTCCATCAAACTGCAAAGTTAATATTAATGGCATAAGTAATACGTAGTATTACAATTACGATTGAAATTTTTGGACCAGTGCGGTATTAACTTGAGTTCCATTAATATATGTATTTTGTCTAAGCCTGACGTATTATCAAAACGATGTCATGATTTTACTAATTACATTGTGTTATTGTAAAATATCTGTTATTAGAGCTGACAGGTAGAACGAATTGCCCTTGACATGGAAACAATTCAGGGGGGTGGGTGGGTGTTGGTAGAGAATTAGATACATAATCTGTTAACAGAAGTGCACTTGAGTTCCATTAATATATGTATTTTGTCTAAGACTGACGTATTATCAAAACGGTGCCATGGTTTTACTAATTGCATTGTGTTATTGTAAAATATTTGTCATTAGAGCTGACAGGTAGAACAAAGTGCCCTTGACATGGTAGCAATTCAGGGGGGTGGGTGGGCGTTGGTAGAGAATTAGATGCATAATCTGTTAACAGAACTGCACATGCATGTTTTATTCAACAATTCTTCAGTAAACCCAAAATTGAAGCATACTGCGATTTTCACATTTGATGATATCTATTACATCAAAATTTATAGAACGTGGAAAAATTTAGCATTATCAACTTCAAATCTACACACCCATATCACAACACTCTGAAGATACATTTTATAATATCCTAACGATGTACCACACTTCAAATCTACACACCCATATATTTCACATATATTTCCCTTTTCGAGAAATAAGTATGTGATCTACAATATTTCATGTCAGCCAAACATTTTATGTTCATGGAAGCGGACATCCACGATTCCACGGTATATCAATGGAAGATGATTTATACTTTATACTTTTTCCGTCCCTTTTTATTTAGCCATATACGTAGTACTATTTTTCAAGTCAAAGTTGTTCAACTTTGACCGATTATATATTTATAAACGGTAATATTGATAATATGAAAATTATATTAAAATATCCTTTGTTAAAAATACTATCATAAAAGTATAAATTTATTTAGTTTAACATAAATATATTAGTTTAAATGATGGATAAAAGTTTATCACATTTGACCGAAAAAGTCAAAGATGGCTAAATAAAAAGGGACAGAGGTAGTAGTTTATAAAACTATTAAAATTACCGTCCACAACTATAATTTATAAAACAAAAATTTATAATTTCAATCTAGAACACGAAAATAATACTAAATAACTTAAATGCACATATTTGGGCATTCATCAAAAGTGAAGAAACCTAAAGCTATATGTACGGCCAATCCAGAGCAGCCCGTGTGATCTCCATGTTCAACAACTAAACAGGCCGCGGAAGTAGCCCAATAATCCATGTAAATCCATCCCAATATAACCCTGTTAGGCTGTTATAACGAAACCTATCCCAAGCAGCCCAAGTTATAACGAAACGCTGAAAATGGCCCCCCTCAAACCCTCCCTTTCTTCGCCGACACCTAGCCAGATCGATTTTCATCTTCCATCTCTCTAAAATCCAACCACGATGCTCAAGCGTTGTTTATCCAATCGACCGGAAAAATGAAATGGTCCTCGAACATAACGCCGTCTTCTCATCCCTTATCCCACCATGAATCCACAGCCGAACGAACATCACCACAATACGGCCTTCATCTGTGCATGCCGTCAGACTGCAACGGTAAGTTCATTTTAACCTTCTTCGATTTCATGTTTTTAAAGAATAACCAAACTAAATCCCTTTTTAACTACAACATACAAACCGATTTCATATGAACAAAATTGTCCCAAGCCTACAGATCTGGAAGTTCTGAGTTCATGTTTCTAATTGGTTTTCATTTCTATATATTTTTTATAATTATTTTTATAAAAAATTAATACATCCTAAAACCGATTTTTTTGAAGCATACATCAAAACTCTACAAATCTGGGAAAAATATGTTTAGAGTTGAACACCTTTTTCATTTCCATGTTGATAATTTCCGATGGATAATTTTTTAAAAAATAAGAATCCTAAAATTATGTTTATAATTTTTTATTCTCCAAAAAAATTGATAACAGGTTATAATTTTAAAGAGTCGTTGCAACAACGATAATACACATACATGTTCATCCACAAAGTGTAGATGATTTTTGACTGCTTTATCTACAAACTTTGAAAAATAAATAAATAAATCCATGTAGTAAGTTATCTATAAACATTTTCGACTTGCAAAAATGCAAAGTAAGATTTTGTCCTCTTAAGTAAATAAGTAATTAGTAATTTCATGGGTAGTTTTGTTTTTGACACTTCCGGAATTGTAAACCAAAAGACTATATTCTCAAATATTTGAATATTCGTTTATTCAACCCATATGCAGATTTTGTGGTTTAATCAGTATATTTTTTATGGTTAGTATTTCAGACTAATTGTATCCGTATACGGGTTTCAACCATCAGACTAATTTTCTGCCGTCATTAAATATTTGACTATGTTTTTGATTTATTCGTTTAATCAGTATTTATCCCATCATAAAATTACTAATTTATAGTCTTTTGGTTTTAGATACAGATATTAATATTCGTTTCTAAATTAAAATAAAACTTAAATTTAGAAAACCCTAATATTAAAAAACACCCAGCCTTACTCGCTTAAATCAACATGTATTTATATTTGTATAAAACTCACATACTGAATAACATTCAACTCATTGTGAATCTTCTAGCATTGTAAAATCTTAAGACATACAAAACGCTAGATATAATTAATCATAAATAATGTTTTCTTCCATCAAAAAGTTCTTGACAACACACACACATGACACATAAAACTTCACTTTTGTAAAAACATATAGCTTTCTTCCGTATGAGCAGGTTCCCAATTGATTGCCCTGGCCACCATGGTTAGAAGAATTGAATCCATCATGTTCAACAGCCATCATGTTCTCGATAGACTCTTGTTGGGTACTGCTTTGATCAATCTCTTGAATCATAGAACACATTCCAACAATTTTGAAAGAACTATATCTAATCTTTTGCTATTGCAGATTTTTGTGGCAATGGATGTGAGAAATATCTGATTTTATAGCTGAGCAACACCATGCTACTTGCAAAGATTGAGATACACTCAATCTCATTTACTGTGCTCACCACCCAATTCAGCCAATAGAAACAAAGCATCAAACAGTGTTAACAGTCCTCACCTCCCTTTGGACCAATATGATTTGTTTACTCACTATTCCACTTTCTATTATATGTGTAATGTATACCATTAATTCACTATTTGGAAATATTTTGGTAAGATTTCTACGCCACATGTTGTATTGCTAGACACCATACGATTTTATCATTTTTGTTTTTTTTATTTGATATTTGTTGCTATTTCCTTGATGTTGACATTTTTGGGAGGGAACACTATTCCCCAAAAATCTTTTGCTTTTATATTAGTATAGATAATTATATGTGAGGATAACTATCTCTGAAGTTTATTTTGCTCATATCTTTTATCGTTTTCTATTTAAATAGCTTTAGGCCATCTCCAACGGTTAACACCATTTTTTACACTAAAATGGTGTAAACATCACATCAAACAGTATTTTATCTCCAACAGTTTACACCATTTTCATCACCAAAAAAGAATATTCTCTTTTTATTCTCTTTACTAACTTTTTACCATTTTTCAATTTAAGTATCTAACTATCATATATTTATACATTAGCCCCTCATTTAATATTTTGATATTTCACACATTATTTCACACATACAAACTAAAATACATCATTTTAATATGTATTTTCACGCATTTCACTAATTAAAATACATCATTTTAATATGTATTTTCACGCATTTCACAAATGTTATTATATTTTTGTTATTTTGTATCAAATTAATAATTTTAATTTGTTGTTCTATACAGATGTTTTTATTTGGACTGTAATTTGTCCCAGATCAAATCAGACCGGATTAGACTAGACTTAGATAGTTATAAAATTACGAAGAAATCAGACCAGACCACATCAGTTCAGATCAGACCAGACCAAATCAGACCAGACCAGACCAACAAATTTCAGTCCAAGTAAAAACATCCTAATTTGTTGTTTTAAAAATGGGTCAAAACTATAATAATCAAAACTTTGGGTCACATTTGAAATAAATAAAAAATAGAAAAAGAAGATGGTGTTGAATTTGGTGTACACCATATATGGCGTAAAGCCAAAGGCTCTCCACCAAAATGGTGAAATGGTGTTAAAGATGATGTTGCTATTGGAGCATTTTTTTGGCAAATACACCATTTTGGTGTAGAAATTGGTGCTTGTTGGAGTTGCCCTTAGAAACAAGTTCTAAACACATGCAATTTCTGAACGTAGAATCTATTCTTCGGTTTTCTTCAATTCCTTCATAGATGCTAGAAAAAACTATTCAATGACTTTAGTTCGGATTGAAACTTTATTTTCTTACATTCACTTATTAGGGCTGGGACTTAGAACCGCAAAACCGGGAAAGCCGAACCGAACCGAAATTACTGGTTCGGTTTGGTTCCTAATTTTTTTGACTTGCCTACTTTTCGGTTCGGTTCCTAATTTATTCAAACGGTTCGGTTCCGGTTCTAACCAATTCTAACTTCCAGGAACCGAACATATATTCTCCTTGTTTTCATTAAAGTTCATTCGCACATATGGGCATTACAAACTGGACCGGCCCACTGGAAAAAGGGATTTTAAAACTACTTTTACTTATAACCACTAACCTAATTCTTCCCAAAGAATCGAACGACCAAAAAGATAACTTGTTGGAATATTATATTTGTCCACCACTTTATTTATTATTCGTTTGCATTATTTTTTATTTTAGCACATCCTAAAATGAATGTTGTTTCTGGTAACTTTACTAATATTGCTTGTTCTTTCATTATATTCTTGGCAGGAGAGCAATTAAGTCCATCCACTAAATCAAGTGTACTCATACCAAATTGCAGTTAAAACTTCAGTCGGGAAGGCATTCAAATGAATTCTTGAAGATAACTGTGCTTTTAACTGAACAGTTATCTTCAAGAATTCATTTGAATGCCTTCCCGGTTGAATTTTTAGATAAAATTTGGTATGAGTAAACTAGACTTAGTGAAAGATGCTCAAAAAATTTCGTCAAAAAAATCCACCGTGAACCGCCCCAAATGGCGACGACCGGACACAGCCTCCTATACAAGGACTTATTTGACCCTTTTTATGCAACTTCGAGTATCAATCTGACTCTTACCTCCTTTCGAATATGGTTTAAAGTGATCAAATTTACTTCTTCATTTTTAATGGATTTAAATTTATTTGAACATTTATTTTAATCTTTGTTTGTTTTTGCACATTACAATTCAAGAGATCTGTCAAAAATGGGGTGCAAAGTCCAATTTGGAAGAAATAATGGAAACTCGGATATGGTGAAAACTTGGGGTGTCAATTACAATTTTTCTGACAGTAGAAGTATAAAATACAAAATTTGGGTTATTTTTCTATGATTAATCATGTGGTATCTTCAAAAGTGATCTGTTGCGCTCTAAAGTCTAAAGTTAAATGCATCTCATCTTTAATTCAGGTCAACTATCTATCCTTCAATCCATACAATGAGTGGGTAGTTGCAACTGCATCTTCAGACACTACAGTTGGTCTGTTTGACATGCGAAAGTTGAACGCTCCATTGCACATCTTAAGCAGTCATACGTATGCCCTTTTGTATTACTCTAATAAGATCAGTGCATCTATTATCTCCTGATAGTCCGAGTCTCTGACAAAAGTATGCGATTTTCGGATTAAGCCCAATTTTATTTACTGACATGATGCTCTTTTGCAGGGATGAAGTGTTCCAGGTGGAATGGGATCCTAACCATGAAACAGTGCTGGCATCTTCTGCTGGTGACAGAAGGTTAATGGTTTGGGATATTAATAGGTATTGTGGCCAATTTGATAAACAGTACATTACCATTTTATTTTCACCTGATGTTTGCTATATCATACTACCTCTGTCCCAATTTGAATGTCTCATTTTGGATTACAAAGTTTGACAAAAGCAAAAGTTAAGTTCTCCTATAAGTCCTAATAATGTTTGAATTGTATTAATAATTTAAGTTTACATGTTTAGAAAGTACACTAAAAGGTTTATTGAACTGCTATTACTGAATATGATTATGATACATAAAATTATCGATAAATAGAAATCTAGGTTGATCTTAGAATAGTGAACGAGACCTTCAAATTCAAACAGATGAAGTAACAATTATCCTGGCTTGCTCACCATTATTGAGAGGGTTGATTTCAGGGTAGGAGATGAGCAGTTGGAAGGAGAAGCTGCGGATGGTCCCTCTGAACTAATCTTCTCTCATGGGGGTCATCAAGCTAAAATATCTGACTTCTCTTGGAATAAAAATGAGCCATGGGTCATCTCAAGTGTTGCAGAAGACAATACTATTCAAATCTGGAAATTGGCAGATAGTATTTACCGGGATGAAGAAGACGAGTTGCTTACCAATAGATCTTGAAAGTCATGGTTTTCTGTTCAGATTTGTTTTTACTGGAAAGGACATGATAATTCACGCATTATATAATTGATCTCTTACATTCACAGAATATCTGTTAAAAATTGTTGATTATTTGCTTAATGCTCTTATGAGAATCAATTCATCTTCTGCTCCTCTCCAACTGTACAACACATAAGTTACATTTGGGCATTTTGAAATGGATGTATAATGTCTGCATAATCTTTAAGGCTAGTTCTTCAGCAGAATTTTCAGTTCCAACTGAAAAGTAAATCATGCATTACAGCACAGGTATCTCTGCTGACTGAAACCAAGGGCTTGTTTGGGTTGTTGATTCTGCAAGGGGTGATTGGATGATACTATATTTTAGATAATACTTTGTATCTAGTATCTACATTTAGCTGCTTGTAATTTGTAAATAAAGTGAGATAAAAAAAACAATATAAACATACATGATTTAACTAATCACGTGAATATTTCTCATTTTAAACTAACAAGTATAAATTAATTCACCCATTCTCTTTTGAGATCCTGGATTCCTGGACCAAACAAGCCCTAAAAATTAACAAAAGGAGATCAAAGTTTGAACTAATACACAGTTTATTCATAAATAAACAAACTGTATTTATTAAACGCATATACAGCTTATCCAGCACGAGAATAAAAAAAGATAACTCTCTTTTTTCGGACGGATAGAATAAAAAATAAAAAAAAACTGAGAACTCAGTTCTAATTAGTGTTCTTATTACTCCTCTTACTCCCACCAGAAGCACTAACAGGCTTGTTGCTGTAGCCTACTCCAAGCCCGGCAGGCTCTTTCACTCCAGAAATTTGTTGATTACCACCCGCCAAACAATGCAGGCTATCAAAACCACAATTACTATTCAATCCTTGGTCGTTCACTTCTGAACTTATGCCACCGTCTGAACCACCTGGTTGGAGGCAATGAAGGGAATAGTCATTGACATTGCACTGAACATTGCAAGGATTCATTTGCTGCTGCTGCTGCTTAGTATAATCATATGGAAAACACCCAATCTCACCCTCGATCCTTCCCCTCATGTCGACAAGCAAACACTTGAGCCTTACCAGCTCAGCTTCGAGCACCGCCTGCCCCTGCAACCTCTTCAGCAATTGCTGGTTCACAGCTCTCAACCTCACAACCTCGTCCTCTAACAATGCCGCCCTCGCCTTCTTCTTCTCCCTATACTTGCGGACAGCTTCCCGATTCCCAGATGGTCGTTTCTTTCCTTCTTTCTTATCATCCACTGACTCCGCGGTGTTGTCTTCACTGGAAGCAACAGGCGGAGGCGGAACTATTTTGGTGTGGACATGGTAACAGGTGTGGGTGTGTGAGTTGTCGGGTCCGGGCGGGTTGCAGGTATGGGCATGGGTGCATGCATGAGTGTCCTTGAGGATTTCATTCAAAAAGCTGTCCATAAAACTGCTGTCTGGTAATTCACTGATATTCAAATCGGATAACAGCATCTCCTGGCTATTTGAAAACTCAAGCTCTCCATCTTCCATTTTTATTTTATTTCTGCTGAAGTAATTATATGCGTCCCCTTCAGGCCAGTCAAACCCTAGAAGCGAGAGAGGATAATAATTAAGATAAAAATTCAATCTTTAATAAAAAACCTAAGTTCCTAAGACTTCAAATTAGCAGGCGCCGAGTTCGTGTTTACCATGACAGAAGAAAAATCAATGTACGGAAATTTATTAAAATGCAATAGATTATCTTGAATGCGCCAGGAAGTTCAATCAGAGCAAAGGCGAACTTACAATTGAGAATTCCGATAGCAATTTGACTTGAATGTGCCGTCTGGGCGTCTGGAAATTCCGATTAGAATCCTGAGAAATTTTGAAGGCCGTCTGGAAGGGAAAGAGACCCCGGAAAGAATAAAAGACGCAGTCAAAACTTAAAAGGAAGAAGGGAAAAATAATTGTCAAGACTTGCAACAGCAGTCACGAATGCACTTGGAGATGGGGTCAGTTTATTCCCATTGGGAATAGAAATCTGAGGAGGAGTTGCCTTTCACCCGTTTATACCGGGCCTAGGCAAATCATTCTATTCTTTGTTACCCAAGGGCGTGTTTGGGCTAGAAATATTGTTGTAGTGTGTTAATATATAATTATATAAAACTCATTACTATTTGTGCTAAAACTCATTATTATTAGTTTCCGAAAGTATTAGTGTTAGTTTCTTAACCTATTTGTGATAGTTTCATAAGGTTACTCATGTTAGTTTAATAGTTTTTGTTTCCTGTTAAAAATGTTATTAAAAAAGACACGTTATTAAAAGATCATTGAGACGGCATAAAACTAAAAATATAATGATCTATTTAATATTTTATATTTTATAATTCTATAAATCAGTAATCACAATCGATTAATATGAATTTTCATTGATAACTATAGCTATTATTTCCTTTAAAAAAAACTATAGCTATTATTTCATGAACTTCAAAGGGGCATCACTAGCGGAGCCACTATAGTTCAAGGGGGTTCATATGAACCCTCAATGTTTTTTTAATGCATGTAGGTATATATGTGTAATTTAGTATATTTATTTAAGGTTCTTTAAATTTAGTTATAAAAACAACATTGAACATCCAAATTTGGATGTTAAAAGAGTTGCAATAACCAGACTTTAAAGAGTACACAGTAAAGTAGTTGTATGAGGAAGTAGTGTTGGAGGATGGTGCATGGCATGTCCAATTTTTATTAGTGTCGTTTGGTCGACAGGACATGCTAGGGTAATAGGCGGTTGAAACCCATTCCAATTGAGTGAATATATATTTTGACGCTTCCAAGAGAAAATCTTAACAAATGGTTGCCTTAGCTTGCGTGATTTTTTGAAGTTGTTTATTCTCATGGATGTGTGATTGTTCGTCCAAAGAGGGTAATATTGTAGAGTCTCTAGGCTTACCCTGCTAGCTGGATCAAGGCTCGTGTAAGGTGATACTAGAAATACTTATAGATGAAAAAGAAAAAATTGGCCTGTATGTTGGGTATGTGACTAAAACTCATCAACTTTCTCATTCTATGATCTCATTAGTTTTTTCTGCAAAATAATATTTAAATTCATATTATTTAATAAATAAATAAATAATTTTATGAACTAATTTCTCTTATATTATAAAACCCTAACTTCCTATTCATTTTCTAAAAAACTTAGCCAATAGCCTGTCATTGCGGCACTCGCCGCCCAGATGCCGCCGCACTCGCTGACCCCATCGACGTGGTACCTTATGCCCCTCTGTCCTCATGTCATGGCGTCACGGCTACCTAGAGCTGTCAAACGGGCCAACCCGACCCAACCCGACCCGCGGCGGGTTATGAGTTTCACGGGTCGAGGCGGGCCAACCCGTTTACTAGCGGGCTAGAATTTTTGTGACCCTACCCGACCCACCTAACCCACGGGTTATGCGGGCCAACCCGCGGGCCATAAAAGTCAAAACAAAAAAACAATTAAATATCCAAATTAAAATCCAAACATAATTGAAATAACAAATAAATATCTAAATTAAAATCTAAACACAATTAAAAAGGAAAAAATAGTGCTTGAAAATCCTTTGGTTGTATACTTGAATGTATCATTGTGGATAACTGGTATACTTAAAAAGTTAAAAGCTGAAATATCTTATTGCTTTAATGTATCATCGTGGGTATACTTAAGCTGAAATACCTAATTTCTCATTTATATAGTCTGATTTGGATATCATGAATAAAATAGCATAAAAGTCCTTATGTTATACTAGTAAAACAATATAGCATCGAATACATTAAAAGAAATACATTTATTTAGTCTGATTTGGATATTATGAACAAAATACATTAATATTAGAAGTGAGAAAAGAACTAGAAGTAAAGAAAGAGTAAACTAGAAGATATAATTGATTTTCCCAATTTTTTGTTTGGCTATTCGAATTCTCCCAGACTCCCGGATAAACATGTTTCTTCATCTCCTTCAATCCTTCGTGACTTTGTGTCTGTTCGACTAGAGTATATTTCAACAATATATTTACTTTGTCGATCATATATAGAAATAATAGAATTAAAAATACATAGAACAAATGATATTTGTCTTCAGCCCGCGGATTGGCCCGCAACCCGTACGGCTTGGCCCGCAAAACCCGCAACCCGTTAGGGTTGGCCCACTGAGCCCGCAAAATAATCGGGCCTGAAAATGATAGCCCTAACCCCCTTATAAGTGGGTTGAAACGGGCCAACCCGCGGGTTTCGGCCCGTTTTGACGGCTCTACTACTACCCCATGCCTTGACGCCTAACCCATGTTGTCGTCTCCATGCCTCCTTGCCACAGCTATCCCTATGCTGAGCCACCACAGCCGTTGCCATTCCTATGTGTCTATGCGCCTACACACAGCCGTCTCCGTGTATACTTGACACAGCGCCGCCTCAGTCCCTATGCTTGTGCGCCATTGCCGCCATCCTCATTCTGTGGTGTTGTGGCCGACCCTTTGCGGCGGCTTCGTGACCATCCCCAATCCTAGTGCCTACCCGTGGCCGCCGTTGTCTCACTTATCGTGGCTGTCCCGATGTCGCTGCATCTCCACTATTTAATTTTTTTATGAACTTAGTGTTTGTGAGTTTAGGGCTTGTGAACATGGGCAGTAAATATGAGTAGTGAAAATGGCAATAGATAGTGTTAAATATGAACAATGAGCATGACATTAGATAGTGTTGCACACTTGTACTTGTACATGTGCAGTTAATGGATGCATTGATGAAGTGTCTTGTGCAGTGAATCGAAGACAATAGAGCAATAACGACGACACTAGATGTACTATATTTAATTGGACGTAAAATACTAATTTAAAGTTATTACATATTTAGTTGGCGAGAATGCAGTGATTCTTACCGGATGTGCAATAATGTTGTGCAGTAAATGCAATATTTTTAATTGGACGGAAATAGCTAGTGTAAAATGCACATTTTCTAAATAAGAGCATTTTGGTCATTAAACATTTTAATATGAATGAATTTTTCTTTTTCTTTTTGTTTTTTAATCATACGAATGTCTAAAAACATAGGTAGTTGAGAATTTTTCCATATCATCCCAGCTAAGGGTTTTTTGAAAGTTGTACCTACTTTAAAGCCATTTTGGATTTTATACGGACACATCAAAGCAAACAATGTGAACATGCACTTTGTTTTCTATGTTTATTGGTATAGTACACGAATCATGTAATCAAACTTCAGCTAGAAATGTTATCTCTATAACACGTATTTCAAGCCTTTAATTAGGATACTGATCTCTTGGGTTATTGAACCAGTGTTTCTTCTTACTAAAAAAGGCGTCTTTATTCATTTACATTACCCATTGTGAAAATCAGTTTAACTTCAACTACTTTTAAAAGTTTAATAAGTTGTTTGAATTAGATATGAGAAAAGTGCATGGCTTAACCTCAACACCAATGTCATTACAATTCAATCGAATTGATAGTCAAATTGTATGATTTTGTAATTTACATAAATAAATTGATTTGGTCCATGTGTAAACTTAAAAAAATTATAATGTAATACTAACCTTATCACAAACCTAACTTTCCATTTTCCTGGTTTGAATGTCCCAAAATAAACTTCTTATTTGACTTGATTTAGCATAATGTAAGAATATATATAATTAACAACTAAAATTAAAAACTGTATTTTTATATAAGTATGTGTCGGGTCCGGTAATAGGGGAGTGTGTCTAGGCATTGCCTTGTGCCCCACTTTTGATAGGGGCCACATTTTTTAATGTCCATTCTAAAAAACTATAAATGTTAAATATTTTTTGGTCAAAAAATAAAATATAAAGATATATTGTTAAAGATTATTGAAACCTATAGTATAAAACTAAACATATTGTGATCTATTCAATACTTCCTCCATATCACTTTACTTGTCCTAGTTTCCTTTTTGGGGTAATTGTCTCATTTCCCTTTTTGGAAAATTTGAAATTATGTTAACATAACATGTTAACTTTATTTGTAACATTTGTAATTTGAATATGTTAACTAATTATTTGACATTTGAATTATTTACACTGGAAAACATAACATGTATGTGGTCATATGCATAGTTTTAGATCGTGGATTGAATTTGCAATACTAACTTGCAACTCTTTTAAATTTCACATGAATTTTGCAAAACTCTATTTGGACCACCAATGCGATTTTCAAAACCTTATTTGGATTCATTCAAAAATGTGATTACAACAACCTTACTCAACATATGATAAACACTTTGGAGGCCTTGCTTGAAGCATTTGCACCTTAATAAAACTATATCCTGATGTCTGCATCTAAACACAAATGAAACACCTCATAACAGGCAAGAGGGTGCAACATTTTGTTTTACTGTACAACAAGAAACCCAAAATAGATAGGAATCTGCGGGAAAGGGATAGTCAAAGCTATCTCAAGATGTGTTCCATCTTTTCTTCAAGTATGCTTCCACAGATGAAGGGCTGCTTTGCTCCACACTGCTGGATGACACGGAAGAGCAATCATTTACGTCGAGTAAGGCAAGGCTTAAGTGTGACTCTGCTGCACTGCTCGACTCCGGATAAACCTCATCATCATTATCATCCATATTTTGTGAATCCTGTTTGTTCTCAATTTGCATGTGCATTTCTTCTTTAATATTTTCCTCGCCCCTTATCATCTTCATTATCTGGTAAATGAAAGAGTTATTTATATAAACTATCATAGTGCATTCCAAGTAAAAAGGAAATTTTAAAAGTGAAAATAATATATTATGTGCATCTCTCCTTCATTACTTTCCCACCCCGGCCTGATCATCATTTTACTGATTTGATTTCCATCATATATCAGAATCCAAAACCCAAAAGCAATACAATAATATATCGTATTTGCTAGAAAAAAGAAGGTTTATCTTAATAACATTTTGCTCTTTGAATTCAATAACTTCATTGACCCCAAAGCCTATTAATTTATACAATTATACTGTATCTAAATATGAGTTTTTTCAATTCATCACCAACCATTCCACATTCACGCACCCTTTTAAATTATTCAACCTAGTCCTATCAAAGCTTTTTTCTTAGAGATTACTTAAAATGCGGGGCCTCATCTTGCCATGTTGAACAGGCTCCAAAATTAATTTGTCGTCCCCCTGTGAGAGCTGCACTATTTAAATGAACTCGGTGGCAAAAGTTGCAGTGAATTACAATACTACCACCATGTTTTTTTCAGACTTGTTTCTCAAGATTATTTTATGAGCCCTTTGATCTATAATGGGCCATATTCATTTGAAAAAATGACATTAATATTACTTACGAAGTTTCCTTGGACAAAAATATGACTAGTTATGTTTTTGGACACAAATATGACTAGTGTGCACGAGTAACTGTACAAAAGTCACTATAGTGTATTTCAAAGTGACAAGTCACTGATAGATGACGAGTTAGTTCTCACTGAAAATTTTAAAGTAAGTCATACTTTTGTCTTTTGAATTTAATTTAGTAATATTCATGGAAAAAGGCCTATCCATTCTCATTTTTCCTAAGAAACACCTTTTGTTTGATCCTCAATCTACATATGCAATAAGATGGCATGGAACAAAGACATATGCACTGGGGGGGATAATATGAAAGAACTCTCAAAATTATAAGCTATGCAATTGCTGTTTTACCTGTCCTATATTGGGACGAGAACGAGCTGATTGTGTAAGGCACAATCTTGCTGCAAGAGCCATTCTGTGCGCCTGAGCTTCATCTCCATTCATATTCAGATTTTCATCAAGTATGCCTTTCAAATCTCCATTCTCTAATTTGGGTTTTGCCTTAAATATGTTCGGTAGAGTAAAATAAGATGAAGAAGGAATAAAAGAAAGAAATAAATAGGGAAGATACAGATATTTTCTCCAATTTGGAATAGGAGAGAAATAAAGACAAAAAAGAGAGTCAAAACTCAAAATCCCTTAAATTTAACAAACTAAATAGCATTAGCAAAAATTCTTAGTTTTCACTTTAGAGCATATATCTCACAAACACAATTACCAACAATCATTACCAAATTAGACACGTAGTTACCAACATGAAACTGACTATTTGACTCTTGTTAATTGCATTGGTGACATTTGTGTGCTAAAATTAAAAGTTGATTTTTTTTCCTATGAGTATTTATAACTAGTACGTTGTAATATTTAAGGAATAATGTAATAATCCAAAAAAGGAAGGTCCACTGACTTCTATCCCTCAGATTACAAGGAGTTGAGAGTTGCCCCCCACCCACCCACACACACACTCTTCTAAGCTTCCCACCCACCACCAATAATGGGTCTTTTCTATCCTTCACATTTTTCTTTCCATTCTATGTTTCTTATTTCTTCATACCAAATAACACAACAAATGCATTCTTTGTTTTCTTCTTAAGTCTCAACCAATCAGGACATTTTAGCAGCTAACTTGGAATGTTATGAGGTTAATGTCACAGATCATATCTTACCCACATAACTAAGCTTTGTTGACCACCATGAGTCTCATATCCAATAGCTCTTCTCCCTGATAACAATTCCAACAGTACAACTCCAAAGGAGTATACATCAATCTTGTTACTAACTTTTCCATACATAAAATACTCGGGAGCAAGGTAACCAAAGGTTCCCAACACATCAGTATGTGTCATGAATGGTGTTGTTGTGGGTCCCCATATCGCTAACCCGAAGTCGGATAACTGCAAACAAATAGCCAACGAGTAACTATCTCGGATAAAGGAAGTTGATTCATTACGCATAGTAGTGTGGTGAGGTAGGTATAGAGAAGTATCAGCAATAACAGAGTAAGGAAAGAGTGTTCCTAAATATATAATACTCCTAATATAAATTATATTAGCAATATTATAAATTCAGTAATAACAATCTCCTTCTCATATTGTTATTCCTAATAGTGAGTATGTTACCTTTGCTTCAAACAGATCACCAAGTAGAATGTTTGAAGACTTGACATCTCTGTGAATGATAGGCCGAGGACGTTCATTGTGCAGGTAGTTCAGGGCTTCAGCCATCTGTAGAGCTATTCTGAACCTTACTTCCCAAGACAGTGAAGATTTTATCTTTCCCTTTCCTGATTTGACAATAAACTCCAGATTATGTTTTAATACATAATTCCAAATTAAAAATTTATAGTTCCAAGAACATATAAGAACGGAAGTTTAACCTGGTATGAGGAAACTTGTTTATTACAGATTATATTTTTATATTTGGCTAGTGTGGGATTACTTAACAGTTTTCGCCATAAAACCTATGCGATAAGGCTAGAGATTGGAGAAGAAGAACTTTATTGAACAAGTCAACCTACCATGTAAGTTTTCTTCCAAGTTTCCTTTGGATAAAAGATTGTAAACAGATATTAAATCATTATCTTCAATACAAATGCCGAGTAGAGGCGCAATGTGTTCGTGATTAACTGAAGCCATTATGTCAATTTCTCGCGTAAAATCCCGCCACGTTTCTTTTGATGACTTTAGAATCTTTATCGCAACTCTTTTGCCATCTGGAAGCAGCCCCTTGTATACTTTATTACACCCTCCTTTACTAATTAAGTTCTCTGCACAAGTAAGTGAATATTAAATAGGCTTACTTGCAAAGGAATTATGTTATACTCAACTAACACTTAGGTATTCTTTATAAAGAGAGTTAGTTTGGAAGAAAGTCTTGATTATATATATAATGGATACAAAGGTGTAAAAAAAGGCTTGACATATAGATGTCTATACAATGTAACTGTAGAAGTTATGGACAGTAAGACACTATCACTTCTCACTAACCTGATGAGAAGTGAGAAGTGGATGCTCTCAGAACAGTATAGCTGAACCATTTGAAGCCAGTGAAGTTTGTATCAATCATAAGTTTCAAATCATTGCTTTCACTCTTATCAGTATAGCTGCTGCAAGTTTCCTCTTCGGAAGTACTTCCGCTCTTTGGACTAGAATTTGATCTAGGAGAGTCTAGGAAAGACCTGTTTGGTAAGGTCATTACCCACTGAACCACTGACATCTTCCTAGGAAGCGCAACTGGAAAAGCAATAGCAGTTTCTTTTGAAGAGTCTTAATTTCATTAGCTGTAAATGTGAATGACTGAACATCTTAATAATTATTGAACAACCCTTACCTTTTGAGAGCTCCTTAGATATTGAGGCAGACTCAACCTTATCCCTAACAGTCTCAGTTCGGAGAAGGGGCCAGCCAGGGGTGTCAGGCATTTCTTCTTCTCTTAATCTGTTCTCAAGGCAGAGCCTTCCTGATTTGCTAAGTCCAGACTGACCATCCCAGAAAGTCGATCTTCCTTCCTTATAGAAACTTGGTCTAGGATCTTCAGCAGCACCTGCCATACATAATCAAGTTTAAAATGTTCAAAGCTGGAGAGAAAGCAAACCAAATACCAAGCTATACAGCTATATTCTAAATACTCTTATAAAGTTGTTGGGAACCTTCTCTGGTTGTTCAAGTGGTTTAAACCCAGGAATGAAAAATTCTCTGTGTTCACTAGTTCGAGTCCTTCTGGAGGGCTATTGGAGGTTACCGGATCATTAACTTTGGAGCCGACGGGACTATTCGGGCCAAAAGTCCCGGATGCCGCGTTATAGAAAAAAAGTGTGGTGGTCTATCATAAGTTCTGGATTAGAAAAATATGGAAGAATCACCTTGAATATGAGTGTCTATAACTCCATTAGTATGAGACCCTTTGGCATGTGCCCAAAAATATATTGATGTGGCCATGTGGGCTTGACCCAAAGCGGATAATATCATACTAACATGGAGTCATTGTAACGTTTGCAGTCCTAAGAAGTTGATCATTAGATTTAACCTGTGTATTCACAATTGGATCCTCTTTTGAAAACGATCCTCCCATTGTGAATAGCCATAACTCCAACTGAGGTAGGCAGTTGCCTTGCACAGTATTTAGCAATCGAAGTCCAACCCCTAAAAAGCAATTCACTGTCAACTAATAAGTTCAAGAAATAATCAAATAACTACCACCAACAGAGTTGAAATTAATTAATGCACATTTACTATTAGATAAATAACCTTACCGAAGAGCTAAGCGCGTGCTAGTCCCTACAATTACAGTCACAGCACCATTTTTCTTTGCTTCCCTCACCAACACCTTTCTAACACAACTTCCCTTTGAAATTTGTGCTTTTAGATTAACCTGAAATCCCCATACAAATATCTCTTAATACTGTTCATTTCTTACTCTCCCTGACCAGCTGGCCATAATAGTGCTACAAAGATTAAACGTGTCAACCGGCAAATATCTAACCTGTTTTTTAGTGCATATGTCGTCGCAATCATCCACGTAACTATCCAAGGAGTATTTATCTTCAGCATTTGAGTCTAACATGACATAATAAATACCTTAACATAATAAAGATAATATGTGCCTAATTAATTGGTATAAAAATCCAAAGAAAACAACACACGCAATGGCATATGTCTCAATCTTTTCAAACAGAGGTTGTCCAGATTGAAGATTCCAGATTGAACCAGTTCTGATTTGGTTAATGCAGATATTAAGATTGAAGAATCTTAACCAGAACCGATGTCAGTTTAGGGTTCTGTACAACTGCCGGTTCTGAGTCTGATTCTCAAACCGTTTATACAGTTATAAACATGAATATTGAGCTTAAAAAACATAATCAAGCCAATGTTCTTCAATACTGGCCCATGTATAGACCAACTTGAAGCAGACTATACTTGCAATGTTTCTGATTTTAGAATATAATTTCAGTTAAGTATGGACTATAAAAACCAAATGTCCCAGTTCTACACAGAACTTGGACCATGTCCAACCCTACAGGCCGAACACATTTTTGGTTCTACTTATTTTAAATATAATAATACCACCGTCCCTAAATGAAGCTTAATTCTGATCTTCTATTCTTGCTTTCAACATAACTTCGTTTTAATATATAACTTTATATTTCAAATTTTAATCATATTTGTATTTCATTTTGGGAGTCAATATTATTTTATTAAAGTTTCAAATATGTAAATTTAAATTATTTATACTAGATTAAATCTTATCGAGGACGAGCTAACTTTATCTTCAAATACTAATATGATTTTCTTCTTTTCTTTTATTTATTTAAAACAATGTTGCTTTAGATAGTTCCTTTTAAGCAAAACTAGAGATCATGATGGTGTTGTTTTGGGGTTGAGTTATAAAAAATAATTTTTCTTCTTCTTAAGCGCAATAATGTTTCTTTCTTGCAGCTATTACAACATCTGAGTTCAAGCGATACTCATCGAAAAACTAAAACTTTTCAACCTGATGAAAATCGGAGCATCAGCAATCATTTAAGTACTAATACTATTCTTCGTGACCGGAGGCTCCCTTAGTCCTCCAGTGATGACATGAATATGATTGAGTCTAAATCACTCAACTAGACCCCTACTTCAACCAGATTTTACAGACTCACAAATTTCTCTTTATTCAAAACTTTTGAGAGAGGGCCTAGTCATAGCATCATATCGGCTTCGAGGAAGCCACGTCCCGCCAGAATTTTTTGACATGGTGTTTAGATCCACAGGTATCTAGGTTCTGTTTGTCTAGTCAGGCCAGATAATTGGGTCTCAAACCGCACTCCAGACGCGTATGAGTAGGCTACTGACCACAACACAGGCTAATGAAAGTGAACCACGACTATCTGATACCATGATAGAATTCAAGATATCTTATTGGACTCCTTTAACTGTACCTTACGATACTTATGTCGAACTAGAAATTATTAGCTAGTTCAACACAATATTGTATTAATTCATCAATTTCTCTTTACCTGTCTGAAACTTAACCAAACTAGGTAATAATATACATTGGATAATCCTCCATTCTAACCTTATTCTCAACACAACCTTAAGGCATTTAGAATTGAAGTACTAATAAAACGTTAGGGTTGTGGAGTAGAAAAGAAAGCTTGTAAATCACCTGAATTTCTACAAACGTGAATGGCAACAACAGTGTCACCGGGATCGGCAACCTTAATCAAAGCCCAATCAAGCAACTCTTTAGCATGGCTGCTATCAAACCGGACTCCCACCACCACATTCCTTTTCCCGGAGTCCATAACCACATCAAATGTCATGATTTTCTTCCTCCTTGAAGGCTACAATTAATCACCAGATGGAAACCCTGCAGGGATATCAGAGGATAATGCCTCCAGCTTAGAAGACAAGAAATGCAGTGCTCCACAAGACACTGACCATGAATTGAAGCCTTCGTCTGAAAATTAAAAATGATGCGAAAATTTTAACAAAAGATAAATTAATATAAGCATTGCTCAAACTAGAAAAATCCAAATCTTGACTTGTAAGCCATCCATATAATTTTAAAAAATGAAGATTCTTTCCATTTCGAACACGAAATTAAAACACTCAATAGCAATGATTAAACCCCTCGGATCGACACCCATCATCAATCAAAGTATGCAGACACGAATGGAAATGGTATCTGCAAAAAAAAAACTGAATCTGCAAAAAAAATTGAATAAATATATGAGGAGATCAGATAAGGGAGGCCAGCAGACCTAAAATTCGAACCCATTTATCTTTCCAAGCCATCAACAAAATTTAAACTTGAGATTTGTGATCTCTAATATGCCAAAAGTTGGTACTTCGCTGACGAGACTTCGCCTTCAGACCTTCTCCGTTTTTATTGCTTTAAAATATGAAAAAGAATTTTCAAAGGGCAAATGAAGGAAGGGATTTTGAATAGAATTGGCGATGCACATACGGATGGACAAAATGGAGAGGTGTGAGAAAAGAGAATGGCTTTTGGTGAGCTAAGAATGAATTCCCGCGAAAAGTGGATTGCGAGTAAATTGAACGCATTTAATTGGAAAAAATTGCGGTCCATAATACTCCTCTGTACGACAGATTGACTGTATCTCCAATACTACAATGTGCAAAGTGCACATGTGACATGAGAGAGATAGACACAAAAAATTGAATTTATAACATTTCTCTCTTATTCTTTCCACGGTTTTATGTATTTTTGGTAAGTTTTTCTCTGCAATGTTAAGCACAATGTCTAGGTGTAGATATTGTGTTTGACATTGTGAAGAAAAACTTACCAAAATGACGCAAGATCCTTCAAATAAGGAAAGAGATATTCTATTTATTATTTTTTAATTGACTATCACTCATGCCACGTATGCACCGTTCACGTTTTAGCATTGAAGATGCTCTAAGACCATGGTTGTTGATTTTAGGAAAAGTAAAAGGTTCTGATACTGTAAAGGTATATTAGTAGTACTGTAGCGCTGCTGTAGTTAGGGGTGAAAAAAGGCCATGTTACGCTTTTACCCAACCACGTCCGACCTATTTTAGAATTAATAGGCCTGACTGCCTGAGCTTGGCGTGTTACTTGTTAAAAGCCTGTTTTTTCAACCAGCATGGCCTGCTTAAAAGTCTTGCCTGGCCTGAAGCTTTTTTAGTGAGTCTGTTACGAAAAGAATCAAAAGTTCATAAAAGTAAAAAATAAAAACTGAAAAATCCTTTCAACCCGATACAAAATTTGTCCCCCAAATATTCACTAAAAATCTGATTATACGATAGTTTTGCTTTGAGTGTCTAATAATACGTCATTTTTTTAATACGTCAATTATATAGCTTATAAATTTTTTTGTGCTTCAAATATTGAAAAACTTTGAATTTCAATTACCCTAATAACCTATGAACACACTTTATATATTTAAAATAGCTAGTATTCTAATTTTTAATACATACTCCATAAAAATACTATTATGCCTAATTTGCTATAGTAAAGTATACTAATATATAATTATAAATAATACAATTAAATTTAAATATAATTAAATATATATACACACACACATAAACATATATACACATATGTAAATAGGTTGGCCTGTTAAGCTAAAAAGGTTTCGAAATTGGGCTAAGTCTGGCCCATTTAAATAAACGGGCTTTTCAAAAAGCCCGAGCCTTTTTTTATTATTAAACGGGCCAGGTCAGGCCACAGGCCCTTGACAGGCCGCATGGCCTATTTCCACCCTTAACTGTAGTAGTACTGTAACTGCTTTTTGAATGAGTTTATTTCCAAAAAGGAATGTGATAATTAATTTGATACATCCCAAAAGAGAAAGTGAGATAAGTAAATAGATACGGAGGGAGTACCGAATTGCGAAAAGTGTAAAGGAGGAGGTTACAGATTTAAATCTGTTATCCATTATAGATACTATAATAGTTTAAAAAACTTTGCCAAAAAAGTCATACCACCTTTAAAAAACAACTTTATTTAGGGTTTTTCCAACAACTTTATTTCTTTCAAAAAACAATAGTCTTTATTTGGCACTCTTTTAGAAATCTTTATTTTTAATTTCTGTTTTTACCCCCACTTTAAGTTGTCTATTAAGTACAAATAACTTCCGCAACAACGGAATCGAACTCAACTTCCGCAACGACCATTTTTCCTTCTTTCCTTCTTCTTCTCTATAATCACTTAGTTCAACTTCTTCGGATTTGTAATCACGTGTGCTCACTTCTCCAGTTTTGCCCGTTCTCGTATGGTCCATGAATTGATCCTAAGTGGCATATAGTCGTTCATCGATTTTCATAAGATGGATATATTCTCTGCAAGTTTTTTATAAGTATTATTAGTTGATTTATTTATAAATTTGTTACAGATTGTTGTTTTGATGTTTTCATGTATGAACTAATTTCGTTTAGGTATTCTGCATCAGTTTTTCAAGTTCAAGTTTCAATTCTCATTTTGAGCTTGAAATTGCAATTTAAAGTGTTTCTCTTTTCTGTTTTTAGTTTCCCAACGTAGATTTCTAGTTTTCCTACTTCATATTTTCCTTTGATTGTGTCGTTTGTGCTATTAATATGCACGTGCTCTTATAATAAATAGTTTCAACCTTTAAGTCTATAAATTCATGCTTTTGTATTTATATAGTTTTTCTGTTTTATATAGTGCTTTGTGTTCATATTTCCATTGTGTAGTGTGCATTATATTCCCATTGCTCGCTGCATCTCTCAATGTTGTTCTTTCGTTTTGTATTAACTCCACTTGAATCTTTAGCATCCCAACAAATAATGGATCTGCTGTGACATATTCATGATTTAAATTATATTGCCTCCTCTTCACTCCTGTGTAGCAAAGTGCAAGTCCAACATGTTGAAATACATAAAGTTTTAAAATAGGTTAGTATTTTATTTTATCATTTTTTGGGAAATAAATTTATATTCAAATTTGCATATAGAAGTACAATTTGCTTTGTAGGATAAAAAACATACTGTATCTGATAATCGATGAGCATTTGTGAACAATTCATAAATCCAAGTTTTGTTCTTATGGTGAAGTCGTGCAATTGCGGTCGAAATGGACATGAGACTAGCTCATCATGCTTCTTATGATACTTTTTTGGGACATTAGTGTTGTGATTTTTAAGTAGTCCCTCCATAAAAAAATGTTTTTACTCTAAAAAACATCATCCATTTGTAACAATTCTTTTGAATCTTTTGTAAATGGTCATCTGAATGGATTCATGACATTGCTTTGTGTTACATCTCTTTTATTGATTACCTTCAAATAAAAGTAAAAAGTTGACAATGAACATATATCAAAACCTTCATGCCCTCCGAAACTGATAGAATAAAGATGACAATGAACATGTACCAAAACCATAATCAACTCAGCACTTGTTATACTAATTTGAAGTTAGTAATTACTTCTAAAACATTATAAACTAAATAGAATTGCATTTCTCGTTTCTATTGTAGTCATTATTTTAATATTTCATAAAAACATGTGGCCTTAAAAAAAGTATTTCTAGTGTTATGTACTCATGAAAAAATATTTGACTTGAAAAATAAGTTTCTGATACTAAATATGATCCCTAATTTTCACGTCAAAGTATTACTAGTGTTGTGTGTTTGTTTTTCAAGACAATGTAGGCTCTGATTAAAAAATCACGTGTGAAGTTTTGTTCGTTGGTTAGCATTTATGTAAAGTTTTTGTCTTATTTTCTAATTATGAGTATTTTATTTTACATTATACACACATGTTTATTTTTTGACGGTGTCATGTAATATTTGTCATCTTTTACGACTTTGCTTCTATCAAGTTTCAATTTTTCAATGTATATACTTACTTTATGATTTTGAAAAATGAAATGACAAACAAAGAAAATTTGGAAAGCATGTGTTCAAATTTGGAAAAGGAAAAATTGACAAGAATAATCTCACCGTTCACTGATCTTCTCATAATAGTCCCACCTTTATGTAATCCCAAAATAATCCCACCTTTGCACCTCATATTCTTTCATTGGACCCTGACTGGGTTTTTTACGCTTTCTTTGAAAATCATATAAATAATCTCATCTTTCGCTTTTTTATTTTATCTTTATAAATATGAGATTTTTTATATAAGATTTTCAAAGAAAGGTAAAAAACCTGGTCAGGGTCCAATTAAAGAAGATGGCTGCAAAGGTGGGATTATTTTGGGATTATGTAAAGGTGAGATTATTATGAGAAGACCAATGAAAGGTGGGATTATTCTTGTCAAATTTTCCTTTGGATAATGGGGAACTGAAAAATAAAAACGAAAAACAAAAATAGAAAATCAGACAAATAAGTAAACATGGCATTAATATTTTCTCTTCTTCTAAGTGGAAATGATTACATTCAAATCATTAACATTATTTTTCATAATGAATGTGAAACGGGAAAATGACTTCTCACCTTTTACATTTTATTGCAAAAGCTCATCCTAATTATTTCCGTATGTAGTATATCTTATACAACTAGAATCTTTACTCGTGCGTTGTACGGGATGCATATGGTATATGTTTAACTATGTCATTAGATGACAGTGGAAATCTAGTGAATGAATAGTTTAAGCAACTCGGATTTAATCTGTTAAACATTTGGGATGAGTTTTTCAGAACACAAAGTTCGATAGAGATTGAATCATTTTGTACAACAAAAATACTTGTCATTAGATATATAAATATTTTGTTACGTATTTGTGTTTATAGAATACAGTTACAAATCAAACAATTGAGGAACGCTAAAAATGTTACTGATCAAACTTTTGTGAACATCCAACACGCAAAAACATTAATTGATAGTAAGGAACATCCAACACGCAAAAACATCAAAATTTTCACATTGCCAAACACCCAATATTAATATGTACGGAATATTACATTTTAATAATATTAGTAAAAGAAATGACCGATTAAAGGTGTATCCTTATCATTGATTATACCATTCTCCATTGAGATTGCAAAATAAACAAAAGAATTACATGCTTAAAAAGTTGTAAGACCTCACCTGTACCCAATCGATCATGTAATGTACAACTGGATATATTTGATGACAGTACATATATGAAGTTGATTGCAAGTGACCGTTTAATTTTTGTAAAATGAAAGATAAATAATTACACAGTGAATCAATATCGTACTCAAATTGTTCATTGTTACTTTCAAATTCTTAAGAATTAGTATCAGGATATACAAATCAATGAATCTTATAAAATCGTTATAATTCATCAAAATAAAAATTTCCAATTTTAAAGAAAAAGATTCAACTTATGTTAAAGGAAAAGACATGCGTTGAGGTTAAGTCTCGTAGATCCGAAAGCCCAACACCAACTTTGGGATATTTAGGGATATTTTATGATGAGAACGATTTAGAAAATAAGATGGACTGCTAATGAATTCAAAAGTTTGCTTGTATTAGGTAAATAACAAAGATTACGCGGAAAAGGCCGAACGACACTTCGGTTCTAACGTTAATAATACAAGAACTAGAGTGATAATCTAAGGCTT